TAATCATATTGATTTAGTCTAAAATTGTATAGTACTTTAAAAATTTAGTTAAAATTTCTGTTCATGCACTATTTTGCTTATTCCCTTTAACAAATAAGTATGCCATTGCAAAACCTGTACTGTCATACTAATCAATTATAAAGTAAAGCTCATATTCCAATATATTCATCTTATAAGTTGCATTTACGAATATTTCCTTATTTTTTTAAGTTTTTCAAAAAATGAAGTAATAAAACCTAGAAGTTTTACTTTATTATTATTATTAATTGATGATCCTCCAGTCAACTAAAACATGATCTTAGTAAAATGTAACTCAGATTACTATATAAATTTACTATAGTGCGAATGTGGCATTCACCCAAGATAAACTTTTTTCATACTAAGTTAGTCACCTTTCTTGCTTAAGAGACTTTTGTAAAGCTTGTCAAGATGCATCTAATGGTGGTTAAAGCGTTAAAATTAGTTTGGTGAGTACTGAGATATCTTTAAAAACTCTTTTTTACTATGTAAACTTCTTTGCAAACAATAGTCAAACAATAGTATTGTTTGCAAAGAAATTTATATAGTAAAAAAGAGGTTTTTTAAAGATATCTCAGTACTCACTAGGCTGATTTTAACACTCTAACCACCATTAGATATGTCTTGACAAGCTTTACAAAAGTCTTTTAAGCAAGAAAGATGATTAACTTAATATAAAAAAAAGTTTACTTTGGGCGAACACCACATTTGCACTATAGTAAATTTATATAGTAATCTGAGTCACATTTTACTAAGATCATACTTTAGTTGACTAGAGGATCATCAATTAAACATAATAACTTGAAGATTGCATTCTTCTAAAAAAATTTTTGCCAATTTTATTTGATTAGTATCATGAATAAACTCTTTTTGGATAAATATTGTCCACTATGCATGAATCTGCTTTTGGGTTATATCTAGAAAATCTTGCTCTAACATACTGTAAATATTACTTGGAGCTAATTAAAGATTTTTTTAATTTTAATTTTAATTCCTTTATTAATCCGATTTCTTTTAGGACATTGATGAAGTATTTCATGTTTAAGATATATAAGTGCACTATTAGCCATTATATTTATAGTAATTCGAAGAGTACCACTACAGTCAAATCGTTCCATTAACTTACGATCTCTTTGTTAATTAAGGTTCTGATATTTTCGTGGCTTTTTTGCCAAATTTTGGCATTGAGAACAACAATATACAATTCAACAGCTTTTTTCTAATAGTAAGTAGTTAAGTAAATATAATAATATCTATCACTATTACCAATTAAATCAGCAATCTTTCTTGAAATTTTTTGAGAACTATCATCTATATCTCTAATATTATCTAATGTAATATCACATTCAAAATTAATTTCAAGTAATTCATTTTCAAAATATTCATTACAGCCAATTGCAATAATATTATTATAAAGTTTTTTGGTTATCTCTTTAGAAAGTAATATTTTCTTTATATCATTTTTGAGTGATTCTTTATAGTATGTTGAAGACTGTTGACAACATGAATTACAAAGATTTACAAGAATAATTGTTTTTATTAAAAAATTCATTTATAGTTTATACTTTCAGCACTTTGAACATTTTTTTTGTGATATATTAGTTATATTTATATCGATTTTATTTATTAATTGTTTCATTTTACAAGTAATAGTAAGAAAAGAAAAAAAAATTATCATTCATATGTAATTATACATTTTTTAATTAATAACTAAAACTTACTAATACTTTAAATTTGTAATCAGCATCATGTATATGCAGAAAATTTGGAGGTATTGTTGGTGTAGTAGTTCTTTAAGTGTCTTTTATGTTAATTATTTTAGATATAATTTAATTTAATTTGTGATCTGTTAAGAAACTAGTGAAATATCATATAATTTTTAGTAAGAAATTTCACCTTATTTGAATTTGGAGTTTCTCTAAGAATAATTGATTTCGTATTAAAAAAACTTTCTTATGCACATAATAAAAGTTGTAGAAGAGAAAAATACGAGCATAATAGTAGTTGAAACACTAAAATCAACCCAGCAAGCATATAGACAGATTTGACTTTATGACTATATAATATTAACAAATAAGTAAACAAATAGTTATAAAGACAAAAATACTTATATATCATAATCTACTAGGCCAATTTTAATGTTTTAGCTACTATTATGCTTGTAATTTCTTCTTAACAACATTTGTTATATACACAAAAGAGGTTTGCTTATTATGAAATCAATATATATTTAAGAAAATATCAGATTTTTTTTTTTTTTTTTTTTTAAATGGTACCTGCTTTATTATCTTCAGTAGTTAAGTGTCTCTTTTTATCGAGACATACAAGGTTTTATTAGTACAGAAACTTCTAGAAACTATATTCACCACTGACTCTGTAACAAAGCTCACTCGGCTGCTCTAAGGTGCCTAAGTATAACCGTTTAGCCACAGATTTACCTTCTCTTTGGCCCCTAATTTACTAGGAGGTTTCTCTCTAGATTAACAGTAGGCTGTGCTCACCTATTTTAATTCATATACATCCTGCTATATATACTACTGTACAATATCCACCAGTTATAATCCACCCCTCATCACTTGTTACATTACTCCTAATTCGTATCTTGTATAACTTCCAAATTGGTTTTCTAGAAGTGGGCGCTCTTCTTGCTTCCAGTTTGGTATTCCTTGAGTATGTTACTTCAGAGCCTAATCTGTATCTCAAGCCAGGTGCTGCCGCTGTCTGAAGATCTGTTTCTCAAGCCACCTGCTGCCACTATTAGGAGAGCTGTTCATATGGGTCCAGATATTAACGTCGTATACTATTTAATTAGACTACCACCTCTTTTTAAGTACTCCCTATCGGTATGGTGATACAGAAGTCTAGATCCTTAGGATGGGAGTTAAGAACCTCATTTAATTACTGCCACAAAGCAGTAACCCAGGACCTGTACTTCTGCTATGTTTTATCATAAACTCTCATATAGGTTGTGCAACTATACTCACTAGCCGTCTTTATGCTTGTACTACCAAAGTGCTTGCTTTCATACTTTTCAGGGTTTCTTTTAACTGGTTTTCTTTGTTTCTTCATTGCACTAGAGGTGTTCCATATTTGGTAAAGCCATTTTCTTACCACAGCCCCTTACTATGTTCACCACTTCTCTCACCACTTCTGGGTATACTGCATACAGCCATCCTCCCAATCAAGATCCCAATACCGCCTTAGGGTTGTTGGTGCTACCTTGCCAATTGTGAATTCACACACACAGTCTTTTGCAGTAATACCTTCTGTGACCCCTGTCACATGTAGTGCCTGATCTTCTCCATGACTCGGGACTCCTTCCAAGAATTCTTTATCGGTCAAATATATACTTCACATGGTCTTACCATCACAGGGTTTCGTATTCAAAAGCCCTCATAGATTACAAAGATAATTAATTTAATTAATTACTACCAGCTATAATTAAACTGTCGACCTCATTTGTGGAGGGTTAGGCACCTAGACTACTAAGCTATGGGACCCTAATCCTTTTGGAAATATCAAATTCTAAAAAGGCAAAAATTACATAGTAGATATATTTATCACAGTTTACTATATTTTTTTACTGGCTGCCAGATGGATCATGAAATTTTTTTTTTTAACTTTGGCATATTTTGCCAGATATTTTATATAGAGTATGAAAACTATTTCTAATTAATAAGTGCTGTATTTTAAGATTAACTATTACTAAACACCTAATTCCACCTAGTTATTTTTCTTTAGCATCTAGATATAATAGCTGTACCACTTTTGTAGAGTTGCACTGAGCTTCAATCCTAAAACTGGTGACTAACTTTTGCTAAAGTATATGTCCTATTCATATATTCATCCAGACTTCAGTAACCTCCTGCCATAGCTTAATATATGCACTTGGGGTCTATTAAACTTCTGTATCTAACTAGTACCTATTGTGCTGCTATCACTGAGTTCATATTTCAAGCCACCTCTTTATGGATACTGCCATAACTCAATCTGTATCTCAAGCTACAACTTTCCTAATTAGACTTATTATCTACTTTCACCCTTGTATAGATTCACAACAAATTCCAGTACCCACATTTTAACTATCTTCTTACCTGGTGTTACAGTTGATTCATAACCTTAGGTACAAGTTGATCTTGTACTTCTCAGAAATATCAGTTGGGATGTGTAGGTTTCCTGATATGGATATTAATATTGAGTATTAATACCTAAAGTTAGCTCTAAGTTCAATAGATTTATATTAGAAGGTAGATAGTCTCATGTTGAAATGATATCTTTAGTAAATCGTTGAATTATTTGATATTATTCAATAATTCTTACACATGTATATAAATGCTAGTCCCCCCTAATTTAAAGAGAAGAAGTAGATGCCCTTTGAACTCTTCTCCCAATAAAAACAATTCTCATAAATTGTTTTTCTTAATAACTTGCCTGCCTAAATACCCAAGTATTACAGTATAAATGTATAATAATTCTAGAAATCTTGAGTTTCATCACAACTATAAGTAATGTCTAATAAAAGTGTGACATGACCTGAATCCATACAATTACCTACCCTGCTCTCCGACTTGCTAATATATAGTGTCAATTGTGTAGATAATAGGTCACCCACATACCTCAAACCATGCACAAAATATAAATAAACAAATTGAAGATGAATTATTAAAATTTTAGTTTATTTTATCTTTTTTTTTGTTTTTTTTTAGTATTTTTGAGTATTTGTTAGATCCGAGGGACTATAAGTCACTAATAGAGCCTGGTACTAGCATAGAATAAGTACTGTGTATATGAAGGATCAATATTGTAATTTGTATCTTTGTTTTTGGTTTGTTTTATTTTTGTTTTTTTTTATTTTGTTTCTGTTTAGATGAGCCTGCCTATCAGTTGCATAGCACAAAAATTGGATATCTTTTGTTTTTTTTTTTGAAATTTTGTATTTTTTTTCTTATTTTGTTTTTGTAAATTTATATTTAGTGTTAATTGAAGCTGGGAAGATGCAATTATGTACCCTTTGAGTACTAAGGCTAGAAGAGTTCTAGTGTGTAATTCTTAGTAATAATTTTGGTTTGTAGTCTTGTGAGAAATATATTTCCTATTATTTAAATATTTTTATTTAATTTATTTCGATTTAATTCAAAATATCTCAAAATATTTTGAATAATATTTGATAAATTTGAATTGATTGGCTTTTCTTACTCATTAGTAGCTATCTTTTAGTTTATAAATAGTTTGCTGTTTTGATGCATTTACGTTTATTTTGAATTGTTTCAAATTAATTCAAAATATTGTATAATATATAATATAATATTATGTTATAAATTTTGTAATATTACATTATAAATTTCATAATATTACATAATATATCTCGTTATATATTGTATAATATTTTATAATTTATTGCATAATATTTTATATAAACTGTAATTATTGCACAATATTTTGGACATAATAACTTTTGTAAGTTTATATTAATATATAGGGTTGAGTTAATAGAAACCAAGCAAACTTTTTTTAGTAAGTTTTTTTAACAAGGATAACTTAACAAAAACTGGACAAATTTAATAAATTTTTTTTAAAATTAATTCTATAAGTTTGTAAAAATTATTTAAAAAAATTTTTATTAAATTTGGTCAAGTTTTTATTAAGTTATTCTTGTTTAAAGTTATAAAAAAATTTTATTATAAAAAATTTGCTTGATTTCTATTGACTCACCCCATATTTTGCAGATGTTTAACTATACTGTTAACAAGAGGGTGATTTAGACAGGTGTAGAACAAGTAAAAAATTTAAAGAAAATAAAAATATAATTAGGTTGTTTGTATATTAGTTGCTGCTTTTAAATTCTACAATTTACATATAATCTGACAACAAAATAGAACAAAAATTTATTAATTATGTATACTTACTGTTATGCAAAAAAGCAAAAAAACAAATAAATAGTTTGAATTTAAAAAAAAATCAAACAATTGACACATAATAACAAATCTATATTCTATTATTTCATTAAAAATTAATAGACAACTTAGTTTATATATATTAATTTACAGATAAGATTATATTACAGATAGTTTATTTACAGACAAACTCGTTTTAATATCCAGATATTGGTTAAAACTAGAGTTGCAGATGAAACTAATCTTCAATGGTGCACCGATGGTAAAACTAGAAGCTAGTCTTCAACGGTGCACCGATGGTGCACCAGGTGAAACTGGTGAAATTAATTAGTTTCACCTGCAAACATTGAATTATATCTGGATAAATTCATAGAATATTCGAATATTTTTAGTGATTTGACATATTATAATTCGGATCTGCCTTACTTCACCAACAATTATTTCACCATCAACTCACTTAGCCAACATCACGCCAAGTGACAATTTACTAAAAATATATACCTGCAACTAATAAAACACTAATCCCAACCTTATGTGATGTCAGCTAAGTGAACTTTCAGTGAAATAATTGTCGGTAAAGTGAGCAGTACCGTTATAATTCACATGTTGATTTATTCTTTTTTTTATTTTAAATTAAAGACCAGATCAATAGAAAAGCAATTAACAGATGTGCTTTGCAAGAGCAACAT